CCCCTACAGCCTGCTGAGCCCTCCAGATGGCGCCCGCGACCGTGCCGACTACGTCAACTCGGCCTTCACTGAGGACGAGGCGCTGGCCCAGCACGGCGCCCTGGACAAGCCCCTGCGCCACCTCGCGCTGCCCGAGCCCGGGGGCACCATGAAACGGCCGCCCCCGTATCAGTGGGACCCCGGGCTGGGGGAGGACATCTGGGTCCCTCAGGACAGGACAGCACTGACGGCGGGGCCCAACCCCCTGAAACTGCCGCCCCTGGGGGTGGGCCCCGGCCAGCACCTGGACCTGGCCCGTGTGCCGTTCGTCTCCCCCAAGTCTCCCGCCAGCCCTACTGCCACTTTCCAGACCGGCTATGGGATGGGAGGGCTGTACCCAGGAAGCTACTCCGGGCCCCCCCTCCCCGGCGTGCAGGCCCCCTGCGCCCCCAAAGACGCCCTGTCCCCCACGCCGTTTGCACAGCAGGAGCCTGCCCTGGGCCTCCAGCCCGCCCACCCGCCCAGCCTCCCCTACTGCACCCTGGCCCCCATGTACCCAGGAGGCAGCACGTGCTCGAGCTTGCAGCTGCCGCCTGTCGCCCTGCACCCCTGGGGCGCCTACAGCGCCTGCCCGCCCATGCAGAACCCCCAGGGCACGCTGCCCCCCAAGGCTCACTTGGTGGTGGAGAAGCCCCTGGTGTCCCCACCGCCGGCAGACCTCCAGGGCCACCTGGGCCCGGAGGCGATGGTGGAGACGGCAGACAGCTTCCAGGAAGTCCTGTCCCTGGCGGAAAGCCCGGTCCCCCAGCGCTCCGAGAAATTCGGGAAGAAGAACCGGAAGCGCCTGGACAGCCGCGCGGAGGAAGGGAACGTCCAGGCCATCACTGAGGGCAAGGTGAAGAAGGAGGCTCGGGCTCTGAGTGACTTTAACTCCCTGATCTCCAGCCCCCGCCTGGGGCGGGAGAAGAAGAAAGCCAAGAGCCAGAAGGACCAGCTGAAGTCGAAGAAGCTGAACAAGACCAGCGAGTTCCAGGACAGCTCGGAGAGCGAGCCCGAGCTCTTCATCAGCGGGGATGAGCTGATGAACCAGAGCCAGGGCAGCAGGAAGGGCTGGAAGAGCAAGCGCAGCCCCCGGGCGGCCAGCGAGCTGGAGGAGTCCAAGTGCCGCAAGGCCAGCGACAAGGAGGACGGGCGGCTGGGCAGCCAGGGCTTCGTGTACGTCATGGCCAACAAGCAGCCCCTGTGGAACGAGGCTACCCAGGTGTACCAGCTGGACTTTGGGGGGCGGGTGACCCAGGAGTCGGCGAAGAACTTCCAGATCGAGCTGGAAGGGCGCCAGGTAAGAGAGCAGCAGCTGGCTGCCGCCTGGCCCTGCGCCCCGAGGGCCTGCGGCCGCCCCAGGGGGTGGGGAGGCTCGGCCTGGGGGGCCGGCTGGGGCCGTGGAGACCGCGCCCGGCCCTCTTGGCGTTTGCACTCACAGCCCGGCCTCCGCTGGTTTCCAGAGGCCGGCGGGGAGGAGCCCCAAGAGGAGAGCTGGCAGGCCGCTGCCCACTTGCCTGGCCTCTGCCGCCCGC